CAGCATCACTTTTACACCAATTCTAGTATATACCATTGCCAAGGATCTCAGAAGGACCTATTATACCATCCAATGCCTGAACTCAACCTTGTGTATTGTTGTCAGCTAAAGGACACTGAATGATATGTAGTCTGCAGGCACATTTGATGTGCCAGAACTTATTCAGGCTTCTAGCACCATGGAAAAACAGGCAAGCTTCAGCTAAACCACACAGATCGCTCCATCCCACTTTTGTAGCCACTAGACTGCATCTAGACTCTCTTAAATGTTACAATCTAAGGGATTCAGCACAATTGTTTCTGAAAATGTATCACAAAAATAGCTTGCCTTTCTACTCTGCAATCGTGGTATAATCTATCCCAAATATATGGTAAAATCACAGGCATAACAGCACCATCATTGTCTCCAAAAAGGCTTTTGTTTAGAAGCATTATGATTTTCTGTTCACACAAAACTGTTTCCAGAAGGTCCACAGCATCCCAGAAAAATGTACTGGTGCATCCTCGAAGCCTTGCATCCCCACTGGAATTTAATTTACAGCCTGCTTATATAGTTTGTCTCAAATATACTATATATCCTGATGAAACCAGAGAGTTGCCAAGGTGGGACATAATCAGGAATAAAAACAGGTTTTGAAATAAATAATCACCTATTTCCAAGGTACAAATTATTAAAATAGGACAATGCTAAAATATGAGGAACAAATATAACATGAGTAAAGGGTCTGTTGTAAAGGGCTGATGCACTTAAGCAGAATGACAATCCATCTAGAATACAGATCCTGACAGAGATCAGCCCAGACACCAGTGTATACGTCCACAAGGTCACATCTGAGCAAGTCTGAATTTTTTTGCCGGTGGAAGATGATGACTCAGTGAATCCTGAGACCTGTAAGCTAGTCTAGCTTCTACACAGTAAAAACATACCCAGCCCCAACCCCCCCAAAAATCTTGAAGATCATCACCCCCGGGCAGTAATTACTGGAGCATGAAATGCTGCAGATGTACATGAGAATTGTTTATCCAAATGTTGCCCCCAACATACGCTAAAGGCAAACCCCAGCTACATGAGCTGGCTATGCTGGTTTCATGCTGTTTAGGAGCTTCCCTAAACCAGAAAGAACTGTAGTAACTACTGATTCCTAACACTAACTGGTGCAAAGCAGCTGGGAGGGGAAAAAAAGGAATTCTGAAATTAACTCCTCCCTGGTGCTCTGTATACCAACTGTCTCTGGAACAAAATCTTGTAATGGACATCTCGGATCAATAAATCTGCCACTCTGCTGACACAATTGTTCAGTATTTTCATTTCACCTCATTTTTAGTTTAGCTTTGCATCCTTCAAACACATGTTCACATAACCCTCACCATATATTTACATAAGGCTCATGCTTGTTGGGGACAGATGAATAAAACAAATCTAACACAACAAAATGAGATGACTGACCTGGACAGGTGAAGCCAAACAATGTTAGAAATGAGCACAAATGCAGAAGTCTTTAAGACGCAAAAGTATTATAAAAATGGCTCCTAATTGCTTTAGTCTGCTCACTGTGCATCTTAGCTATGTTACTCACCCATGTGGCTCAATGAATAATAATCTAAAGATTATTACTTTTAATTCCTCCTAGTTCTGCAGAGGCAACTGAAGAGACAAGGAGCATATTCATCACCCCATTCATTTTAACACCACTCTACTCTACTGTGACTACTAGTGACAATCTCTGTGTAATACCACAGATGTTATGTCAAACACCAATGTCACACAAGCATAAATTTTGGCATGTCCAACCATCTTTCTTTTTACAGGCACAATAGGGCAAGAAGCCCTCTCAGAACACCTCAGCTGGGTTCTCAAAGGTGGCAGTAGTCTTGCTTATACATAGTTACTAGAAATCCATCACAAAACAGCAGCTCACTGTGGAGAGATGCTATTGTTGAGAGTTCTGACTATACTCAGTTACATCTGCATTTGCCTGATGTAGTTACTGGAAGTAACAGCAAAGAATAGCAGGACTAGTCACAGTCCCTGAAGAGGCAGCTTAAACCCACAGCTCCCTCCATTTCAGCTGATACTTTCCACAACTTCAAACCTTGCCTAATCTTATTGCATCATTTTAAGCCAGTGACAACACGCAGGCACAAATACTTGCCACAAGTTGGGAAGCAGGATACTTATCAGGTATGCAGAGCTGAAATTTTTGAGACTCCAGCATAATCCTTACAGACATTATTAACTCAGGTACAACTTACACAGAGAATGTTAACTTCATGTGTGCCCTAAAAATTTGGAGTAGGATACAGCCCATTACTACATTTTTCCAGAAAAGAAGGGAAAAAAAAAAGGGCATTGTTCAATGGAATTGCAGAATAAGGATCTCAACTGCAGCAGATTTATCTGCCAGTAACCTGCAGCATGCATCAAATCCTTGTGTGAGGATGTGTTGCAAATCTTGGTTAATGGGTATCACAATCAAAAGCTTTTGCAGGATCAAACTGAGCTTCAATCAATCTGATTAGCAGCAAGATATCCTAGAATTCTGCCTTCCACTCATGCAAGAGGTTACAGACATAGGCACTGTATTATAGCCTATACCACTACAACACTAATTAGTCAACAATTGTTCTGATTTGTCTGGATTCACTACGAATGCAAAACATTGCGCTGTAACTCATCTGTTAAAGTATTACTAATCCCTGCATTACACAAACATTGTTCAAATGGCTTTTTTTCACTACCAGGATACCTTAGGTGCAATGTAAATGTAATGTAAATTACATCTGTTAAATCTCTTATTAAAAAAAAAACAGATTACAGTAAGACCATACAGTAATAGTACTACATAAAATGTCTTCCTTCTATTCAGTAACATTATTTTATAATGATAATCCACACATGAAGACAGAGTATTAGCAGAGGAGTTAAAACTTTCATGATGAAACTGCAGGTACCATGTTACCAAGAAACCACAGCTTAAAGTCAATTAGAATACACAGAAATAGATATACTCCTGATTCTCAGAGTTTCCATATATACATCCACTTTTCATCCATCTTTAAAGTTACTGAGTTCACCTTGTAGTCAAACTAATTGTGTTATTTCCTCGTGCTACAGACAGTTCCCCCAAGCTAAGTAAGCTTGGCTCAGCTGCACCATAAGCTCCTTTTTCTGTAAAATAAGACTTCCTTTCAGAGTCCTATCTCTGTTACTGGTCAGGATCTTACAACTATCATATCCAGTAGAAAACATTTTCAGCAACTCTCATAGTTTTCCATCATTTCAGCCACATCTAAGAAAGAATAGCTCAGAAAAATTAGAAGCCACATTGCATGTATTAGTTAAGTGCAAGACATGTTGAGTACTTATTAATATTTTAAAATACGCAGCTTAGAAATCTCTCTTTTTTACATATACCACCATCTTGCCAGTCACTTAAGACTGTAATCTAGTCATCATCAACATGGACTTCCCTATATCTCTGTTGAATATTAACTCTCCAGTTTACTAACTTGTTCAAATCTACTCCCACATTTAAAGGACAGAACAGCCTGTTATTCCAACCGTACCATTACACATTTAGGTTTTCAGCAGATACAGTAGACAACTTGAGGAAAAGTAAATTATCTGTATGATGTTTCACCCACAAAACACAGTATCAGCACAAAATTTCAGAGAGGTGGCAACTACACTTAACTTCCCCCACACTCCAGGCAAATCAATATAAGAAAATACACAAACATTGATTTCAAATTTCAAGTATTGAGCTGTGAACATTTTAAGCATGTTCTTCCTTTGTCACGTATGTCAAATGTGCATTACATTACATTCTCAATTATTACTTTTCCTAACAGACACAACCAAAGACTCACAAGCCTTTAATAAGAACAAACATGTAATAATAATGCAAGGTGACTTTGAGAACTTTACTGGTCAGGATCTTACAACTATCATATCCAGTAGAAAACATTTTCAGCAACTCTCATAGATGTGGCTTACTTTAAAACCATAGTTAGAAGCTTTTCATATGTACACCACTAATAAAACACACAGCTTCACCATCTCCCAAAAGGTTTCTGTTGTTTGGGTTTTGATATTAGAATATACTAATTTTAAAACACTGCAAAGCCCTTAAAGTGTAAGATTAATATGAAAATATTTCCAAAACTCTGTTCCAAACATTATGAAAAACCTCACTAGAACCCACCACTGCACTGAGTTAAGCTATTTCAGAGCTTAATGTGACAGAACCTGAACATTCCTTTAGCCTTTTAAAAATAAAAAACTCAGTAGAAACACAGGCATTTGTTTTCCTCCGTTGTCCAAAATATTTGGAATGGAGAGCCATTTTCCTTGAGTAAAACTAGATATGAATCCGTAACAGCATAATTACAGTATGGTTACCCAGAAGTTCAACCTGATGAGAAACATCAGGTTGAGAAACTATCCTCAGTTTCTAGTAATTAGTGACAGATTAGGAAAACCATAACAAAACTCCTTACTAAGAGAAAAATAATCACACCATTGAGTCCAGGATTGAACACTAAGTTACACATGAAGAATATTATAACCTTACCAGATAAATACTTTACTTCCATTTAGACTCTGCTATAGTCAAGAACATAGTTTGCTCATACCTTTATCCTCAATTTGAGTCTGAAGATGCAGATTATGCCAGTATTTCCTGACTGGGAGTGTATGAGGAGCATACCTTGCACAAAGACTTCCAAAGGCATGTCACATGGGTGTTGATCACTAGATTACATTGCACTTCAAAGTGTAACACACTTCAAAGACACTGCTTTAGTGAGGATCTTATTTTTTAAGTACTAAGTGTATGTGTGTTAGAGGGAAAGAGGCTAACGCTGTCTGTAACATCTAAGCAAGGCCCGAAGTTACTTCGTAAGATAGGAATCAGTAGAAAGTATTTCATAAGGGCTATGATGGCCTAAACAATTTATGTGGACTAGCATATCTGAATCACAGAACAGGTAACACACTCATAAAAACCCAGCATGTCATTTATTTACTCAACAGGTCACAGGAAGTCTGGCAAGCTACTCTGCAGAATTTGGTTTTTTTCCCTAATACACAGCAATTACATTTGCCATCCTTTATTTCAAAAGTCAAATTCACACAGGCCTAGGTTTTCTACCTTACTGCCACAACTCAAATGAATTCACTTTTTAAGCTAATTCAACGGTACAAGCAGAGTTCACTGAAGTACTTGTAAACCAAGACAAGTGCTCTAAAATTGTTACCTAAAGTTCTTGCACCCAGCTTCAGCCATGACACGCCCACATTAGTCTGCTTACCTCAAACCACAGGAGTTCTAGAGCTTGAACAAGTTCCTCCACTGTTTCCCAATGTACACTATGACAAACATGCTTGACAAGCCAGACATAGACCCACCCTTTTCCAGGAACACGGAGAGCTTTGCTATGGGTACAGCAAATCCTACCTTGAATTTCATTCTCAGCAAGTCACGGTGAATCTACACTTCCTGAAGTATCTGCTCTAGAAACAACCTTAGGAGGCCAGTAGCTGGGTGCTCTTCGGTCATGCAAGCTTCTGATCTATCATTAATATCAATGACTCACAAACATGAAATTTAGTTCTCACCCTTAGAAACTCCAGCTATAGAGGTGTCAGAATGGAATGCAAAATGCCTTTCTTGTGCCCTAGAAAGTTATATTTTTCTCTGAAACACAACAAAAACCCAAAAAGCAATAAAAACAACACATTCCTGAAACATTCAAATTATTAGTTAATAGATCCAAAGCTGGTAAATACACTTAAGAACCATTATCAATTTTATTAATGGTTTTCCTCCTTTCCGTGCTTCATTTACCCATAAAACTGATGGTTTCAGGTAAATAAAATTAAAATGGTATTATATAACCCATTAAACAGTTGTACCATGCAAACATCTATTGAACACTCACTGAAGATAAAAATTTAACACTCACATGTAGCTCCCCCAAGGCCAGCAGCAAGCAGCTGGCAAGTAAAAATTCCTCCTCAACTTGCAAGTTTTGTGTTAGATTAAGCCACCATTAACTGTTGCTAAAATACAATTCTATTTCGTAAATCCAGTAGGTTACAAACTGACTTATAGCCTACCTACCTCTAACCTGCAATGCCAGAAATTCACCAATTAAGTCCAAAAGGTTTCATTATGCACAGAAAGCTTTTTTTCAGGAGCCAGCTTTTTAACACAGCAAAAGGAGAATGCTCTGCAGAAAAGCAAAACATTTTAAGATTGTTTAATATTTAGGACCTGTTGTTTAATATTTTTGTCCCCGATTTTCTGACAAAAAGTCACACCAGAAACTTTGTTTTATATTTTTATTGTATGCCAAAGTTCATTAAAGATGAGTGTTTGCTTGTAGAAGTTACTCAAAAAATGTGTCTAGGCAGAAATTTGTTAGCAATCTGACTTATTTCAAAGCATAGTTTTGTTCAATCGGGCCACAAAAATAACAGTGTACAAGCAGTAACTAAGGAGCTGTATATTCAAGGAGTTTCCAAATATCACTGATCTTGAGATCTCATCAGGAATAAATCAAGGCAGTCACAATAGAAAATAGCAGCTCCATATAGCTTTTTCAAGTTTTAATTTTATTCAGGAGGTGAAAGTTCAGTTTGCCTCATTCTTCGAAGCTTCATCGAAGTTTTCAACAAGATCTAGAAAAAGATTGTTGGAATTAAAAGTTTGACCCATTTCCCCTCTGCCGAACATTTTGGGTTTGAATTTTTTTCCAAAGTCCTACTTCATATCAAGTTTTTACCATAAAAACTTTCAGCTTGTAAAATACAGAGCAAATATTGCTCAACCAAAGAAATTTTGGACAGTACATTAAAAAGCACAATTCTAAAAGCATGTAACTTCACGATAATGACTGGGCAGTGATTCTGACAAGGTAGTTTCTCATGAAATATTAAATAATGATCTTGGTCACAGTTATCACTTCAACACAGGATGAAAATGCTAGCTTAAACTGCGAAGTCTCTCACAGTATCTGAAATTAATGAAATACTCTGCCCACAGAAATTCTGCCCACAGAAGTGACCAGACATCATTCTTACTATCCCTGGTCTGATCTTATGCTATGTGTAAGATTTCTCAGCAAAATTCACTTCCTTCTCCACCACTGCATGTTTGGTCTCACCTGGAACTTCATCGTCATCATCTTCACCAGTGGCAAGTGGTGCTTTTCCGTCCACAGCTGCAAGAGCAAGTAGTTCAAAAGCTTCATTCAAGGTCATCACAGGCATTTTGAGTTATTGTTTAGCTTTGTGTTTTTTGAAAACATTATCAAAGATTCTGGGCCAAGCTGCAATGCTTTATCCAGTTTTGTAAAAAAAACTCTTTATCTAATGTCAGAAGTTTACATTCCCTTTTTCTCTGATAATGTTTAAACAGCCCAGTAGTAAAATTAGAAGATGCATGCTAAACAGCATACTAGTCACCATCTTGTACAAACATATTGAGTACTCTGCACAACAATAACTCCCAAATACAAGTGGAGATTGATTTTACAAGTTTTTCCTAAAAGTAGGTTAGTTTATGGACTACCACATGGCTCTTAAATTTACATATTTTACATCACGAAGTTTGAAGGATCTTATTACCCCACATATCCAAAGAAAGCTGAGGTGTAATTGTGAAGTTGCAGGCAGACACAAGTAGAAGTACTTAAAAGGTACTACTGTTCTCTGGCAAAGTCAAAGGAATATGGAACTGGTCGCACAATTTTACACTCCTTAGGTGGTTTAGGCGACCTAGTGTTCTAGTCCACATGTTTGCCGACTCAGTAATTTCTTTAACCATTCCTATTGCATTTGACAGAAGTAATGAGATTTAACCATCTCCATTGTAGCAGACCAGTGAGCATCTGCTGAACCGGGCAGAAGTATAATGTAACAAGGGTTAATGCTATCTCAAGTGTCTGAGTATAGAGAATAAGAATACTCTACAACTATTCTTAGCTGTACTGTCACATCTAGTACTCTCTACTACTCTCTTACTCTCTACTTACTCTCTACCTTAGCATTATTCCAATTAATCCTTCTCAGTTTTTAAGAAAAGTGTGAGGAAAAACATGGTTTCTTACTAGATCTGTACATTCATTTCTAGAGAACCAGAAGTGATAAATAAACTTTGTTTTGAAAGGACTCGGGACAAGGACATCACTGCCCTTCATTTGTTTTTTTTAAGAAGCAGAAAGTTGTTAAATCTTAAATGCAACATTAAAAACAACATTTGAAAAGCAAACCATGTTATTTTGTCCTAAATTACCTGCATTCTCTCTCATCCCCAAGACCAGTCCAAGTTTACCTTAGCATCTGCAATCATCACAGATGCTTCATTCATTGATATTAGGCTTCCAAACCTAGCTGACAATGCCAAATAGAAAGTTTTGTGCAACTAGTTCTGGCATCCACTCTTAGTGGAAAGAAACAGCCATTTATTAGAACATAAAAACTAATCACTTCAAACAAGCTTCCCTCCTTCTAAAACTCCACAGTTTAGCTTAGTATATAGCCTCTTATAACTGGCTTCTCATTGTTATCAGAAAACAGAACTCCAGCAATCATTCTAAATCCTTCCAAGTACTCTTTTCTTTCAAGCTCTATTACTATCACAGAGGTGACATTAGAAGAAAGGATCTGAGGATCATGATAAAGAACACTTTACTCCATATCTTGAGGACTACTTCTAGTAAAATCCTTTTCATTGGTAAGTTGCCAGGAGGGCACCATCAATTTTAGGAATGTAAAGAGAGGCTGCTTTGGCAACAAAGCAGAGGAAGAATAATACATTAATCAAATTAGAACTGCCAAAGATCGGACACAATGATTTTATCTCTTTTTTTTTTATGTTCAGGCTGTTCCATATATTTGAAGGAATGGGCTTAAGATATTTCAGGAAGTACAAGACTGTACACGCAGGACACAAGGAATGTTCCCAGTGTCAACAAGTCTTTCACTCCTGATTTTCATCCTGTAGCAGCAGCACCTTTATCAAACACTACATATTTAAGTCCTTACTATACTTTTCCCAGTTTTAGAAGGAACAAATGCTCATACTTTTTACTATTTAAAGTATGAAATAGAAGTTGGTGTATCTAGCTTAATGCTCATATCAGCCCTGTTCTCTATACTGTTTTACACATACTGAAATTATAATGTACTTCCTTATAAATACCCTGTAATTTCTTCCTAGTTATCAAAAAGCCCATGGAGCAATACTTGCACCACACCTGGGAGGGAGAATAGCAATCACGAGATTATCTGTTATGTCTCTCTCCCACTTACTTACAGTTCCATTCCAAGTGTCAAGAAATATACTCAAACTTATCCTTCTTTAAAACCTAACACTTACAGAGTAATTGATTCACCCAGCTATAATGAACAAGATATGTCAAAATATGACTGCCACACCAAGAAGGAAGGTACCAGAAAATCAAGTCTGGCTACAATTTTCCAGTGCTAACCCAGCTACAAGACACACTAACAGGTGACTTTGCTTGACTGAGTCATGCTTGCCATTGGGTTTGAGCTATAAATAAAATTGATTTTAAAGTGTTTGGTTTCTTTATAAGGATTTTATAACATGCTTGCTGACAACAAGAGTGCAAGGAATGCCACTGCTGCTACAGAAACAAGCTTCATGTCAGCTGCCAGCATGAAACACATTCAAGTTTCAACCTACATTGCTTGGGTAGGGCTTCTGCCAGTCTCCTGAGGCTGGTCAGACTGTCAGCTCCGAGCTGGTTTAGGATGCTAGGCAGCATTTCTGTCAGCTGCTTTGTCTCAGCGTGGCCGGTGATAGTGAAAGTGTTAGCAGCCAGAGATGCCTGAACTTTTGGGTTATTGAAGTGAATAACTGTTCCTTGATTGGTAAACATGTTTACCTGCAAGAAAAAAAAAAATCCAGTATTTGAAGCAGTTGAACAGGATTTTTCAATTTAACAGGAAATAAAGATTCTTAAAGCTCCAGGAAGACCTATTGATCATCTACAGACAAGTTTAGGAGCTATGTTACTTACCAGAAAATTTATTTTAATGCATATTCTATTTAATACATTTTCTATTTTCTATAATACTATTTCTATTTTGTGTTTAAATATTTTTTTTCCTTTGAAGCAATTACCTCTTCAATTCCAGAAATATTGTTGACTCCCAGTTTCTTCAATGAAAACTGAAGCTTTTTATCATCTGCTGTAGCTGTTCTGTGAACAACCTTCTTCTTTCTGCGGGCAGTACCCTTTGCAAAAAAAATTAAAAATTACAAGATAAAGCTTAAGTAGTTCTCACAAACTGTAATCCTAAAGGCTGCATAACTACCTCACAATTTCTACAAATCAGCTTAACATACTGCACCTGTGTTTCACTGCATGTAACCCTGCTGCCCAACTGCACTGCAGCAGTTTTTCTCTTTGCAGTTAGGCAAGATTTGCACATGTAAGAGAAGCATAAAGTTTTAGGAAGCAATGCCATCACAGAGTATTTATTCCACAAATGTCAGTTTTATTCAACATCTTAGAAAAGGGGAGTTGTAAATTTAACCTTCTTAACCCAAGTCATCACAAGACATAAAACTGAAGAATGAACAGTTTCAAGCAATTTCCAAAAGTTATTAGTTTTTTCTTAGATTATAGCCAAATTTTGGTAAAAATCAGAGGTCGTAAGGCTATGAACACATCATTAACAAATGAATAAGAGAAAAGCCAAAAATACTCCATTTTTATTCTAAATAGCCATCTTTCATCTGATGGATTTACATATTTGAAGAATGCCTACTTTTCCAAAATATTTCATAAATACATTTTAAATAATACTTCTGGTGCTGTAGACCAACCCTGTTTAGAAACCAAACAAGTAAAGGTTAAGTTGTCCTACAGATCCAAAGCTCTAGATTTCTCCAGGGAAGTAAAAGTTCCACATTAGAATACATCTATTTATATAAAAAAACAGAAAATGTCATTCTCCAATTGCTTGCACAAGGGTTCAGAAAAATCTGACATAAAATGTCTGTAAAAAAGTGAAACTAAGCTTGTTTTTGACATAATGTAACTGTAACTACTAATCTAAGCTCTCCCACTCTGGCTGCTCATCTACCTCATGCTAATAAGAAGAGAATGTGTTGCTGCCTAGCTGTGTAAATAGCTGCAATTCCTTTTTAGTTACTGTCAGAAATTTAAAAGTTGGCTGGACAGTAACAAATCTAACATAATTCTGCTACCAACAATGAGGAACATTAGTGACAAATTCATATGAAACCAACACTTGGAAGATGACCACTCAAACATTAAAGTTTTTGTCTAGAAAACTTGATATTCACACCCTGCTACTGTTGTGTTAGCACACACAGTGGTTTGGAAACTGCTAAAAGTAACAGAATTGCTTTATTTTAGTGGCTTGTCTACCCAAGAATTGAGCTAAATAAGGCATACGCTAAGTCCCCAGGACAACAAAATTCTCGGTAAATTTCAGAACATGACATCTTGAATCAAGGAATATGGAGGAATATGTACCTCCTTCACACCCATCTCAACTTACATGGCAACAATGCAATAAAGATATCATGAATAATTTCTCATTATAAAAAATAATAATATGGCAGGTTCAGGCATTCCAACTATTTCACAGGCCAATTTTAGACTTAAATTACCATTCTAAGCTTTGCCTAATGTCTATAAAAGCCCTATATTGATCAGCAAGCTGCAAGAACTGCAATTTGAATGCATGCTCTCACATGACAGACATTAAAAGCCTCTATAGTCAATAAACACACACTGGTTAACATGCATTCAATCAGCAAAATAATACAGGAGTTCTCTAATTAACCATTAACATATACCAAGAATATGCAAAAATTACCAAGGTGGTTAATTACTACATAAACCCTGCTTTAGGCTGCCTAAATCTCCAGCAATTGGCAAAAAGAAAAGGGAAAAAAGCCCCAAACACTGGAATGAAAGCTCCTGGAAATTCTGTCAGCAAGAGTTCTGTTGAATAATTTGTAATCCAGAACATTGTGTATACTCCCTCAGGTATGAAAGATTCCTGAAAAATTCCTGAATTAGAACTGACACTGAAATTAAAATGTTTACTGTCATATTAAACATACTTTTCTCACATTATAAGTAATCACACAACACAAATACCCCTATTCAAATATAACAAAATAAAGTTTTTCTTATTATATTAGTCTGCAATTAAAAAAGTATGACAATATATAGAATTTTCAAATTTGTGCAGAACGGCAAAAAACTGCCTTGAGCAACATAAGTATCTCTGACAAATCAGTAACATAAGACCTCTAAGACCTGTTATGAAAACTATACCAAACCTCACCTGCTGTAAGGTATATTCACTTTAAATCCCACATGTTTTCTAAAACAGCCCATAGAATTAGCACGGGATGGCTGCAAGAGGACTACAATGACCATCTAGTTCCAAACTTTGTGCCATGGGCAGGGACAATTCTAACTGGACCAAGGTACTCAAGAGTCCCATCCAACCTAGCCCTTAACACCCCCAGGGATGTGGCATCCACAGCCTCTCTGGAAAACTTGTTCCAGTGCCTGACCAGCCTCATAGTAAAGAATTTTTTCCTAATATCCAGTCTAAACCTACTTTCAAGCTAAACCCATGCCCCCTTGACATGCTACTACATGCTCTTGTAAATAGTCTTGATGCATCTTTCCTGTAGGCTCCCTTCAGGTACTAGGAGGCCACACTTAGGCCCCAATGCCTCCTCTTTTGCAGGCTGACCAGTCCCAGTTCTCTCAGACTGTTCTAACATGGGAGGAGCTCCAGCCCTCTGATCAATCTGCTGTCCCTCCTCTGGACTCCCTCCAGCACGTCCCTGTCCCTCCTGTGCTGTGCCCCCAGAGCTGATGCAGCCCTGCAGGTGGGCTCTCAGCAGAGCAGAGCAGAGGGGCAGAATCCCCTCCCTGCCCTGCTGCCCACCCTGCTCTGGATGCAGCCCAGGACACGTGTGGCTCTCTGGGCTGGCAGTGCCCATGGCTGGGGCATGTCCAGCCTCTCAGCCACCAGCAGCTCCAATTCCTTCTGGGCAGGGCTGCTGGGATCTGGTCATGCCCAGCCTGTGCTGGTACCAGGGCTGCTGTGACCCAGCTGCAGTACCCTGCACTTGACCTTGCTAATTACTAGATTCACATTCACCTTAACAAAGAATATTACATCTGCTGTAACAAAACCTACAGAAAGAGAAACGCCTGGAGATTCATCTACTGCATATAGCACCTACAAAAGTGACTTCAGATGGCCCTGGCAGAGCACAGATTCCCTTGAGGACAATGCAGCCAAGCTGAGAGCACTCAGGGCTGCCCCACACACCCGTTTCCGGGACCTCTTGTGTCAGGCCCGACATACGGGCAGGGACACGCAATCCCGAAGGCAGCGCAGGGAGGCGGCTCCTACCTTGCCACCAATGCGCACTTGGGCCTGAAGCTTGGCCAGCTTCTCCTGGTTCATGATGGTCTCCTTCATCTGCGGGAACAACAAGAGTGGGTGTGGGAACACCCGTGGGGGCAGGTGGGCGCAGGGGGCTCTGCAGCCGCCCCTCACACACACCCACATGCGGCACGGGGGCAGCCCCGCCCCGCCCTGCCAGCGGGCCGGAACGCTCTCCGATCGCAGGCAGAGCCGCCGAGCCCCGCCGAGCCTCCCCGCCGGGCCCGGCCCGTAACCGCCGTCCCTTTCTCCAACCACCACCGCCCCCACCGCCCCCGGCCGAGTCACGCTCCCCTCCCGGCCGCCCCCGCCGCCCCCGCGGTACCTCGGCGAGCGGAGGGGCGCGGAGCGCGGCTGGAGCGGTCGGCAGGACGCGGGGCCGGGATCCGCACGCGGGCACGGCGAGATGGCGGCCGGAAGGAAGGACCTGCGCGCCGGGCCGCGCGTGCGCCGCGCCGGGCCCGGCAGGGGGCGCCCCTCGGGGCGGGCCGTGGAATCCCGGAGCTGTTGGCTTGGGAAAGACCTGCGGTGTGGTTGGCGCCCGCTGCCACGGCCAGTCCTTCCTTAGACCACTTCAGGAATAGTGACTCGAGCATCTCCCTGCGGAGCCCGCTGCAATATCTTGTCAGCCTTTCTGTGAAGAAATTCCTCTTGATGTAGACTCTCCTCTTGCTGCACCTTCTTTCAGATCGTTGTAGAGAGTGATAAAGTCACCCCTCAGTCTCTTCCAGTCTAAACATCCCCAGCTCCCTCAGCTGTTCCCCATAAGACTTGTGCTCCAGACCCTTCACCAGCTTTGTTGGCCACCTCTGGTCTTCTGCCAGCACCTCAATGTCCTCCTCCTATTGAAGGGCCAAGGACTGGACACAGCACTGGACACGTGGCCTCACCAGTACAAGGGGACAATCCCTGTCCTTGTCCTGCTGGCCACACCATTGCTGATCCAGACCAGGATGCCATTGGCCTTCCTGGCCACCTGGACATCTGCTGGCTCATGTTTGGATCAGCACCCACAGGTTCTTTTCCCGTGGGCAGCTTTCCAGCCACTCTGCCCCAGCTTTGGAGCTGCCTGGGGTTGTTGTGGCAAGGGCAGGACCCAGCACTCACCATGTCTGCCCTGACCATGCCTCAGATTACCATGTCTTAGTCACTTTGCTGCCCTCTTACGCAGCCTGCTACCTGCAGCCTTGCCAGGGAAGTTCCCCACCACAGGCTTCACATCCATGGTCTGGCATCACAGAGTAACAGAACCATTTGGATTGGAAGGGACCTCTGGAGATCATCCAGTGCAATGCCCCTGATAAGTCAGGAACACCCAGAGCAGATGACAAAGGAACATATCCTGGTGGGTTTTGAACAGTTCCAGAGAGAGACACTCCACATATTCCCTGGGCAGCCTGTTCCACTGCTTAGCCACCCTCAACATACAGGAGTTATCTCTCATGTTGGGGAGGAATTTCTTGTGTTTTAACTTATGGCCATTGCTCCTCATCCTGTCACTGTGCACAACTGAAAAGAATCTGGCACCATCCTCTTGACACCTGCCTTTGAGATATTTATAATTTATATATTAAGATCCCTTCTTAGTCTTCTCTACACTAAACAGGCCCAGCTCCCACAGTCTGTCATAAGAGAGGTGCCCCAGAAGTTGTGCTTGTGTGGCTGGACCCTCTCCAGTAATTCCTTGTCTTTCTTGTACTGAGGAGTCCAGAACTGGACGTGGTGCTCCAGATGTGGCCTCACTAATCATGTGTTTATTATTTTTCATGCTAGAAAACACGTGAGCATTATGTTTCTTTCTCCCTTTTTTAGTGCAGGCCCTCTCTCAAAGCCCGTGGCTGTGCTTCTCCCTGCTGTCCCCATCAACTCACCTCCTTCCTCCCAGCTGGCCAGTGCAGAGCTCTGTGGTGAGGCCCCTTAAGTGAAACATACCCCAATGCCCCCAGCTGCCCCTGCCCAGCCAAACTACTGAGATTCTTCTGTCACCGCTGCCTGTGTAACAGCCCTTGTTCTTTTTATTTCTTCCACCTTGTGTGTTTTTCCCTGTGGCTTTTCCTCTGCTGTTATGTTATTGTAATTTATAAACTATCCACATGCAGCTGCTTGCTGCTGGTCACTGAGGGCACACACTGTCTGTGTGCCTTTACTGGACCCCTCAGAGATGTCCCCCTGTAGCTGTTTTCCCTCACCAAGGCCTTAATCTACCCTTTTAAAGTATTGCCAGTCTTTGTGTTTTCGGCGTTCTCTTCTGAGAGCCAAACTCACACTCCTCCCAGGCCCTAACTCACGCAGTTGCTGCTGCCTTTGAGTACATGTAAACCTTGTTCCTCACTTTGCATTTCTGAGGCAGAGATCATTCAGTCTACAATTTCAGTCTCCCACAAGTTTGCCACTGTGTTTGAGTTTACTCTGACGAGTGTGACTAATCTCACAGCCGTGGGGGAACGCACATGTCTGGCTCCAGCAGAAGGCAAAGCAGTCCTTGCAGGAGCTGTGCTGCACAGCAGAGGGCAGGAGCAGATTTATGGGGGAAAAACCTGGCATTCTCAGCAGTGCTACACGTGCTCACAGAGTGATGCAAGAGAGGAGGAGCCGTGTTGCTCCATGGTCCCAGTCACCACCTCAACCGAGCTTGATGGGCCTACTGGGACCAGTGGAAACACTGCTGACCTTGCCTTCTCACCTGTATTTTTATGCCTTTTATACTGATTCTTCTCTGGAATATCCTCAGTTAACTATTCTCTTTGGTCTTGTTTCTATAAGACTATGTCAATAATTAATCTATCCTTCTTCATTGATTAACATTGTCTCCCTTATTACTAATCCCCAGAGCCAAGATTTTGCCAAGGCGCTACTTTTTATGTGTCTGTAAATTTAGTTTGCTCTTACATTATCTTTTCACTATACCAGAGCCGAGTGATAATTTGTACAAAAGATATTGATCCTGTTAAAATCGAGGCCTTTGTAATTAGTGAAAATTAATGATAATCCCAAAATTACTCCATCTGGTGGGGGTAGAAATTCTCAGGGGGATGGTGATTCAAAAGGCACTGCTGAAGAGCAGCAGCCTATGTGCCTCCCACCAGGTGAATCACAGACGAAAATTGGGGGATGATCAAACAACTGTAAAAGATGGTGGGGGAACCTCCAAAAATTTGGTTCACTGTATCTAAGAAAAATGGCAGGGGAAGCTCATATTATTTACCTGAACTAGCAACCCCAGTATATCATTCAGAAGGAGGGGGGGAAAGCAGATTTAGGAGAAGGGGGTGTTTGGGGAAGACAGAGTTTCTTAGGGACTAAAAAGAAAGCTTATAAATTTATTGCAGGATGAAACTGCCAATGTACCTGCAGAAAAAGTGAAGAGAACCAAGATGAAAAAACACAGAACACACCTGAGTTTGTAACAAATCTGCTTCAGATTTTTTACACTCTGCCATCCATATATGTGTAATAGTCTAGAATTGCTAGGCCAAATAATGATTACAAACAAGCAAAATATTTTATTAGACTAAAATACTGAAGTGAAAATTAATCATATCCCAAGACAGAAACTGTAGAAAATACTGTTATGGCTGGCATTTTAGGATCAACTGGTCTAGAGATATGATCTCATATGCTCTCATGTGAGATTTTTGAAGACAAACTATGATGAGAGCCACATTGCTGAGTTGTATCAGGACATAGCTAAAGTGATTCAAAAATGGCAGTTCAAGGGGCTCTAAGATTTGTTTACATTTCATGGATCAAACAGGAGACCTTCAAAAAACAAGATTTACCTCTGAGAAAAAGCATTTTAGCATGCTAAAATAGTATTGGCTTGTTTTCTTCAGTTTTTCTTTTGTAATTCCATAATGGGAAACATAAACCTAAACCTGGATTTAGTAGTAGCTGCAGATCTTGTATGAGAAATGAAGCAGATCCAAGGGCTGTACCATTGAGAGGGATCCTGAGCTCAGTAAATATATTTTCAGTTCTGAAAAAGGGTGAAAGTCATGACCTCAAAAACGTCGAAGCATATACATTGCTAAAGGAAAGTTCATTAGCTACACCAAAACAGCATAGGAATGGAGGAAGATCATTAAAATGGTTACTTAGAAAAATTGTTTCCTAAATTATATGGAAGTTTAAAGGCAGGAGAATGACATTTGTTCTCAAAATGGTAGTGGAAAAGCTCTCCTAAAAGTCATGGCCAGTGCTGCATAAGTAATAACAGGGAATGTTGAGGAGAGGTGCTAGTATTATATTGAGGGAACTAATCACAGATCTAAAGCATAAGTGATCAGGCTAACATGAAGCAATATTTGTCTTGATTACCAGGAACAACAAGATAAAAAATCATGGCTTTAGGCAGTGAAGGAAATATGATATTTAAAATTTCATTTGGAAACATTTGTTCAGAAGAATGCCGTATTTAACTGCAGGACATAGGGGGGAAAGTACTGAGTAATTCTGAAAATACCCATGTGTGTTAGCAATTTTATGGAGGAAAATAGCAGCATTATGTAGTAGAGAACCAAAAATATTGAGAGAGAGAGATGAATGGAAAAGAAGCCATCTCCAGATATCTAGACATTAGACTCACTGAAGAATTAGAAACTTTTTAAGGGATGTGAAATATATAAACTTTGATAGGAGCCCAGAAAGATTCAACCAAAGTCTGGTGCTGTTTTCATCTCATGTATTACTATGTTATATCATGTGCCACAGAGTTGATCTGTAATAGACTTAGTGTCAAGGAAGAGAGGCTGCTGCCCAGCAAACAATGTCCTTTTCTCACCATGACTGTAGTTTTTAAACTCAGCAACCCAAAATACCTGGGCTTCAAACCATATCACAGGCTTTTTACAACTTCCAGGATGCCTCTCCCTGTAACACCCTGCAGACTCCTACTAGGGAGTAGTTGGAGAAGGGCTACATCAAGAATCCCCTGCCTTCACTGTACATAGTTCAACTGGGCTTTGCAGGATATTTGGGAATTTGAGTTAATAAGACCGCTAAAAGCTCACCAAGAAAGGCTTGCCTGTTAGTTCTAGTCAATAGCAAATATCTTGCTATAAAATAAGTAAGAGGTAGAAGTCACACAAAGGTATATCCTTTATTGGCTATGCATTGAAAAGGTGATACCTTAAATTTATGCATGGATGTTAGAGACTTAGACAAACAGTTTATTCCTAAAGACATCCTATACACAGAATTCAAGAGGACTTGAATCCTTCAAGCCATGATCACAGAAATATTTTGACCTCTGCTAAGACAGTGGTCTTTGTATTGTCTTTAAACATTAACACAAGTCAAAACATTGTTGAGACAACAACCCAACACACACATGTAAATGTGTAACATATCACATGTAGCCCAGGATGAATTAGGACTAAGTTTGGCCCACTTTAGAAGTATAGATGCCATCATGCAACCTTTGATTAATGCCTTAGC